AGCAACACTCGACTCGCCTGGTAATGCTAATATATGATTAAAACTATTACTCCTCGCTGATTATTATCTTATTTACAATTATAATTAGTTAATATTATATATTATATTATATATATATTATAAAGTTAATATTAAAAAAAGAACATGAAAGAAAGCTAACTTCCTCAACCAATCCTAAAAAATGCAGAGTTGAAGTATTTAATAAAATGATTAAAAACACAAAGTAATGCCTACTTACATATATTACATTCACCTTTACATATTATATTAACCATTTTACTATTAACATTTTCAGATTTTCCTCTACGGCACCTATTCGATTTGCAAAAAATTAAAGCCGACGTTGTAAGATAATAAAATATTGCCATATCTCTGAGTAGATAAAACTATGTTGGACAACAGGAAAGTTATAAGTTTTTCGCAAAGGCAATGAGTTCGCCTGGCTTCCTCCTGGAGGCATCTTCTAGCGATGCCAGAATTGGAGAGCAAACATTTGCAAATGAGATGCTCCAAGGTTTCGGTTGCCTCGGATTCATCACATTTTCGGCATTGAACATCACATAGGGACAAAATAATTTTTGAGAAAGTTATCTATGTTGTTATATCTACATATATAAATCCCTAATTATATAAGACATAATTATATAAGGAAAAGGAAGGTAACTTCGGCACGCAAAGTTTGCAATTGGATCATTGAGAAATTCTCAAGTCTCAATAAGAATCAATCCATTCTGAAGCTTGTATTTTCCTTTCGATAGTATTTTGCGTAGTGAAAATTGTGTGGTTTGTTGAGTTTTCATTTTCATAATATTGGCAAAAAACATGCGGTCGCAAACGTACGAAATATGGAAGTCGTCTTTGGCTTAATCTAGTAAAATGAAAAAATCTGCGAGTTGGGACGGAATTTTCTGAAGTAATAACATTATTTTTAATTGAGTTCTTTCCCAAGGATATATTTCCATGTCCTTTTTTTTAATAGAATTAGATATCGGTCGCGAACGTACGGGTCACGAAAGTACGATCCAACATAGAAAAATAAAAACATATTTTTTGAATTAAGGAAATCATAAAAATTTAGTGGGAAAAAAAGAAACATTCTTTATTTGTTTAATTTTTTTTTTTAATACTTCTTTTTTATGAATAAATGCATATTTCCTTTATCATTTTCACTTAAGTCACTTGTTGTATGTTGTATGCTTGTTAAAGAAGAAAAAAAATATTCTTTATAAAATAGTAACACCAAAAAGACAAGAAGTTTTATCCACCTGCTATCATATGTTTTCCTAAAAAAATAATTAAACATAAAAATGCTTTTAAAAGTAACTAAAAATGAAAAAAATGACATTTTTTTCAGTTATCAGCCAAATTTTTCCGGAAAACAACTGAGTTAAGCTAAGGATCCATTATTATGAAAATTTTTACATTTATTCATGAAAATACACAAAAACAAGCCATGATTACGAAGATTTATTTTTCGGGCCTGGTTTACCATTTGGCGGATATGCCCATATAATAATTTGCATTTGATCAAATTAAAACAACACAAATATTTGATCGTATAAAATAACTATAATTTAGATTTGAAGTATGATAATAATAAAAAAAAATTATAAACATAAATGCTGAAAAAAAAACAAAGTAATATACATGTACGTATTATATTAAGTGTTTGACAATTACACTTTTACTTTAGCAGCTTTACATTTTTGTCTACATCTACCGATCGTTTCTATGACAGCTACATATATGATATAGTTGCCCGATTTTCCTAAAATTATAATCCTGATTCTGAAATAATAAAAAAGCTGATAATATATCAGAGTAGATGAAAATACTTTGAAAAACAACGAAGTTACAATTTGTTTTCTCTATAAACAGAGAAGTAAGAATTTTTTTCTAACAATTTTCCGATCTTTTCTTTGACAGCTACATATATGATATAGTCGTCTTATCTAGCCCGTGCCGAAATATATAGTAGTGCGAATAGTCAGACTATCTGCAAAGTTTTTTTCAGATAGCTTCAAAACTAAGGGACTAGTTTGCGTAGAAACGGATAGTCGGAAGGACAGACGGACATGGCTAGATCAACTCGGCTGTTGAATATATATTTAGAAACCGTCTCCTTCTCTGCGTTGCAAACTTCAGACTAAAATTATAATACCCTGGAGTGGTAAAATTATTTTATTTAATTATGTATTTATTTTAATAAATTATTGCATTAAAATCTTTCATCACGTTTTCCTGAATTCTGTGCTTGAACTGGTTTTCTGAAAAGGAAATTCTGTTTTATAATTTTTAAAATTATCTTTAAAACGAAAAATGGCCTATATCGATCTTAGCACCAATTGTTAACCAAGTGTTATAGGTTTTAAATTTTGTAAATCTAAAGTAACATCTTGGAACATTTTATTTTCCATTTTGAAAAGGTATTGCCAATATCCTTGAACACCGAGTTGAAGCTTGTTTATCTGGATATGAAATGATATAAAGTTGCAGCATCGGGTCGAAGTGGTATCAAGCTCCCAAGACATAACCTTATTCTTTCTGTACTATTGGTATGATTAAGAACAAATGTCTTTAGGAATATTGTGCCAAAGTTTTACATTAATTATAGAAAAATGTACTAAGTGGAACAGAGGTCGTTTGGTGTTCGTTCAATGCATGAATATCACAAAATTTAAAGCGCTCTCCTGAAAAGTGTCATTTTTAAAGTCGGTGATAACTCAAAATCTACTAAACCAACTGGGTTGAAATTTGGAACATAACTTCTTTTAATAATTGTACAGGTACTTTGTGGAATTTTTATACCCTTGCAGGGTATTATAATTTCAGTCAGAAGTTTGCAACGCAGTGAAGGAGACGTTTCCGACCCTATAAAGTATATACATATATTCTCGATCAGCATCAATAGCCGAGTCGATCTAGCCATTTCCGTCTGTCCGTCTGTCCATCTGTCCGTCTGTCCGTCTGTCTGTTTCTACGCAAACTAGTCCCTCAGTTTTAAAGCTATCTGAATGAAACTTTGCATATAGTCTTCTATATACTCTCACTGCTATATATGTCGGAACGGGCCGGATCGGACGACTATATCATATAGCTGCCATACAAATGTTCGATAAGTTTTTTTTTCGTTGTTTTTCAACGTATTTTAATATACTTTGACAAATGAGCTTCTGGTATGATTTCAAAATTTTAGTATAAATTTTTATGAAAATCGGACGACTATATCTTATAGCTGCCATAGGAACGATAGGGAAAGTAATAGAATAATAGGAAGCTAACTTCGACACGCCGTATACCCTTGCAGATTGGTTTTGATGTTTATATTATAGATTTAAATGCTGTAAACACTCACAAAACAGAGTTTCATTTCATTTTACCTATTCTTATTATGTTTACAGTTTGACAGTTACAGTTTTACATTCCCAGCTTTACATATTCTATATATTTACCGATCGCTTCTATGGCAGCTATATGATATAGTTGTCCGATTTTTATGAAATTTATACCAAAATTCTAGAAATAAGCTTATATCCCGGAGTAGATGAAAATACGTTGAAAAACAACGAAGGAATAATTTTTTTCCTATTAATTTCCCAAACGTTCCTATGGCAGCTATAAGATATAGTCGTCCGATTTTCATGAAATTATGAAATAATATAAAATGGCTTTATCTAAAAAATTGTGCAAAAATGTTGAAAAACAGCCAAGTTATAATTTTTTTTCTAAAAATTTTTCAAACATTTGTATGGCAGCTATATGATATAGTCGTCCGATCCGGCATATATAGCAGTGAGAGTATATAGAAGATTATCTGCAAAGTTTCATTCAGATAGCTTTAAAACTGAGGGACTAGTTTGCATAGAAACGGACAGACAGACGGACGGACAGACGGACAGACGGACAGACGGACATGGCTAGATCGACTCGGCTGTTGATGCTGATCAAGAATATATATACTTTATAGGGTCGGAAACGTCTCCTTCACTGCGTTGCAAATTTCTGACTGAAATTATAATACCCTGCAAGGGTATAAAAATTATAACTTCGTTGTTTTTCAACGTATTTTCATCTACTCTGAGATATGAGCTTTACTTATTTCTATAGAATTTTGGTATAAATTTTATGAAAATCGGACAACTTCTATGGCAGCTATATGATAGCTGCCATAGAAGCGATCCATAGATGTAGAGAAAATGTAAAGCTGGGAATGTATAACTGTAACTGTCAAACTGTAAACATAATAAGTATAGGCAAAATGTTATCAAACTCTGTTTAGTGTTTAGTGTTAGTGTTTTCGGCATTATAATATATAATTTAAATATGAAAACCAATCTGCAAGGGTATACAAACTTCGGCGTGCCGAAGTTAGCTTCCTTTCTTGTTTTTGTTAATTTTAAATTGTATTATAATGTTTATTTAACAAAGTTACAAATATATATTTGAGCATAACCTGCTGAGTAAATCTTGAGATCGAGTACATCAATTTTAAGAAAGTAAGAATCTAATATATATGTATGTATTTCATATTCATTATATGCCCTTGGGTTCGATTTTTACAATTAAAATGTTTGTTTAATCATTAAACAATAAAGTTGAGGTTCATGCTGACCTATGCAGAGCACCGATATGAAGGCAGTACTATATTGTATTTTCTTGTGCGTTTTCCCACATGTTAAAATTATGTTATGACGGGTTATATAAGTAAGTTTACAAGAAATAAACTACTTTAATTAATGTAAAAGAAACTGTTGAGTACCAGGTATCTATTAGATACTATCTAACAACCAAACACATTCTTCTCTTTTGCAACTTGTTCTAACTCCGCCGATCAATAAAATTTTACACAAAATGTATGCCTTCCCTTTTCCCTTGTTTAAACTTTAGTCAGTCAGTCGCAATAATGGGTTATATAAACTTTGTTCATGGATAAACTTAAAGCGAGCCAAAGAATTATTATTTTGTTAAGTTTTTTATAAAACAGATAATAAAAACACATATTTTGTATTGTTCTCTTTATATTATTGTTATGACATTATGAATGAAGAATTGCCTAGGAATTTAATTTAGGAAATTAAATATTAGGAAAAAACAAAAGGATACATGTACTCATTGGCATGGCTATTTTGCACCGTCCTGGTTTGTGGCTCCCGAAACCAGGACCAACAGCACCACCGGAACGATGTACATCCACTAAAAGCATAAGGTGATTATTGTTGTAACTTGTTGTAAAATCCATACTTACATATTTGGCAAAGAATCCTCGGTTGTCGCGAACTTCTCCTCGCTCTCTAGCCTCTCGCTCGCGCTCAACTTTCTGAATAAAGCCCGCCGTATCTGGCACTGGAGCCAACTCCGCGTGGCGGATCAGGACGTCTGTGCTGAACTGCGATTCCGCTAGCTTGTCTAAATCCTCCTGGGTGCACTCAGCGTTGCCTGGGGCTGCGTCCTCTGAGACAGTTATCCCGGTGACGAATCCAGAGGGATCGAGCGAGATCCAAAGCACGTCGTTCAATTGTGCTTGCAGCAACCTACACGCCTTGTTGGATGTAAGGAACTGCGCCTTGGCACCGTTTGAGTACACTACCGTGGCCTTCAGACGGTAGAATTCATTTTGCCTGGCGAGGGTCTAAAATCAAGCAAAAAAAAAACATGAATTTAAGCGTTGAAGTTAACCTTTGTCCAGCGTTGCAGGAAAACGTGAAGGCGCCGGCAATTCGGTGATCCATCGTACACTCGCCGGCTTATAAACCCTATTCACCTTAAGAATGTCCAGCTCAACCTCGGTTAAAGCCGGCTGGGCCACATTTGCCAATCCAGAGTTTAGGCTTGGAATAGTCACATTTCCACGGAAGGAGAAGCCATCGGAAGCAAGCGAGTGCTTCAGCTCCACCGTAATCCAACTGTCATGTTCCAAGAATGCCTGTGAAGCAAATATATCACATGGCCTTTACGGAAACTTTCGATTTACAACTTACCCAGCTGCCAGCCACAGCACTAAACAAGGCCAATAGCACCAATTCCATTTTTAAGTTCATTTTCATCGAGAAATTATGAATTTTAATTTGTCAATTTTATGAGGAGCAAAGCAGTGTGACCGCGTTCCGACCTTTAAATAATACCACAAGCAAAAAAATACTAACAAATCGTAATATACCAGCTGTGCCGACCTTTTCTATAGTGAATTCAGTAGCTAGTAGCTACCAGGTAAACGACTGAAAATATCGGATGCTGGAAATCTGCAACAACATTTAATATATTAATTTTTTAAGCAATTAGTATAAAATATTATGGGAATTTGCTGAATTTCCTGATTACTGCAAATATCGGAGATGAATTTCCTGTCATATTTTCAACCAAAACCTATTCACAAGACATGGATTTACCATTTGTGATCTTTTATGTAATTTTAAATTAATTAATGGACTTTGAAGACATACTGGCTTTTCAGTCACTTTGCCGATATATTTAAATAAATACATACATTCTGTAAAAATAACTATCTGCAAAGCGTCATTTAAGTTGATATAAACTAAGCATAAGACACACGTACTAAAGGACATGGCTAAATCAAGACGGCTGTTGATACTGCTTACCGAAATTGTCTCCTTTAGGGCGTTATAAATTTTGCAAAGGTATAAAATACCAAATTTTGGGAATCGGTCTTAAGTATTGCAGCCTGTTAAGTCTAGATCCAAGATCAATTCAGTTCCAACGGACCCTGATTAAGAACATTTTAATATTATTAGCTTGCATCACCAGAGAAGTTGATCTAGCCATATCCATCGTAGTATTTATATCTGTTTACTTTGATTTAAGTATAATTTTAGATCGATGTATAATTAACCGTAAGAATTATATTAAAAGATCACTCCGACACTTTTATTTAGCATTTACAATTGGCACACCATTATTGCAACCAGTGGTTTTTACTCTCATTATGTTGGGACTTAGTAGGCCAGTAGAAGATTTAAAAATATGGCAATGTAGCAATAACTGCTGATCTAAAAAATCCCAACCATAATGAGGGCACACACAGAACCAGCTTATATTTAAGTTAATCAAAAACTGACAAACTTTCTCAAAGTACCTCAAACTTTTATAGTTGCCGATGAGAGATTAATGAGTGTATATACGCTAGTAACACAGTATTATGTAATGGAGTTAACATAAACAAGTTGATACCGTTCAGTTTCAATACTTAACCCTCTACAAACAATGTCCCCAATCAGTTTAGCTATTCTGGTAAAATATGGGAAATTGTTACATAAATATATAAATATAAATTTATATGAAAATAAATCTCTACTAAGATTCGGTTTAAAGACATAATTAAGGGAAAAATCGTAATCAAAAATTATGAATTACTTTTCAATTATCTTTCATAATTTATCGTTCTTTCATTGTTATAGTAATAATTATAGTACAGTATAATTTTAATTTAATAATGCGATTAGTGTTAAAATCAAATGAAGAGTGAAATAAGATAGAAGTGCTGTTGTATGGTTTTAAGACGAGGCAACATGAAATCTGAGAAAACAAAAAGTCAAGCATCACTGCCCTGCCGACTGGCTGAAAGTTTTGACCCGCCAAGTTTTTCAGGCTGCGCGCTAAACAAAAGCCCACACAGTTGGCACAGGAACCCCATCAAGTGTGGTCATAAGGGAAAACATGATTTTATTATGATCTGTTAAAAGTATTCCAATACATTAATGAAATAATATTACATTGCTAAGCAAAAACACATTAGATCTTCGGAAATTTTGTGCCAACGGAAACTGTTTTTGAATTGTGAACAACTGAAACACACAAATGTTCGTTGTAATTGAGGTCTCGGAGCAGCTACAAAATAAAGAAAATTGAATTTTAACAATATTAATTTATATAAATTATTAAAGTTTCCCTTCTACCTTCGGAGTCACGAACAAATACTGGGCCGAGCCATGTTTGGTGGCTTCTTTCAGAAGCAGATCGAATATGTTTCTTTCATTTTTAGCGTCCATACCCTGGTTTATTTCATCAACGCATCTGGGGCGAAAGCAACCTTTGAATCTTGCTGGAAATTGTAATGCATTTTTCGTATTTACCTGAATGGCACTTGAGTTACATGCTGCAACGATAGCGAGTAGGTTGCAATTGATACTGCTCGTTCGCCGCCCGATTGAATAAACTTGTCCAAGGGCTGTAGTTGAGCACCTCTTCTAAACTGGACCATTATCTGGATACCGTATGAATCAAAGTCATACTAAAAACACAAAATCAGTTCAAGATTCCAATCAAATAGCAATAATTACTCACTTTATCGGACTTAGAAAGGACAACTTCTCCGACGTACTCGATTGATTCCATGAATTCGCTGAACTTTGTACTTATCGTTTCCACCAAACTGGTTAATTTGGGTTCCCATCGGTTATACAACTGGGACATTTCCGATTCGATTGTTTTTGCTTCATCCACAGACCTTTGAATGTTGTCTTCCATCATTTTAACTTCATTCTGCAGTTCCTGATAACTACCGAGGGTCTGAAAATGTTGATTATATGTGTATGTAACAGTCTGAATAATTCAATAAATTTAGTATACCTCTGAGTTTATGCTTTTCATGCACTCCAATCTGGCCTGAAAGTCGTGTATAGCTTCACGCATTTGTTGCAAATCCATGCTCTCTATGCCTTTAAATTCCTTCTTAAATGGGAATCTTGAGCTGGATGGAAGTTCTCCATTGCACAGCCGCTGGATTTCACTCTTTCGTCTACCGATGTCGTTCATTTGGACCTCCAAGGTTTGAAGCAATTGCTCAAAGTCTCTCTGGGGATAAATTAGATGATTACCAATTTGTTCCAAGCTGTAGTTATATTTGGTATAACTAGTTGTTTGAGGTCTTGCTTACGGTTGCCGTTTTACTCAGAAGCTCGAGCTCCTTCAAGGCGTCGCTTTCACTTTCATGTTGGGCATTGTAAATGGACGCCTTAGTTTGGGTAAGTTTTTTTTCGATGTCTAGAATCTTTAATGCTTCTACCCGTTTGATCAGTTTTGTCTCGGCTTCTATTATCTTACTCCGATCAACTTTTAAACCATTAAAAAAAATCGTTTTGAGTGCATCCAAAGCTGAAAATGCCGTCAAAATATTTAGTATTTTTATTTCTAAAATATATTATTATTTTTTGTATAAAAACTTACCAGCAGTTGTTTGCAGACTATCCAGCTTTCTCTGTAGATTTTCAACTTCGCTTTTGAGATTATCAAAATGTGAAATTTTCTGCTTGAGTTTTTTCTCCTTTTCCTGTTCGTCCCTTGCCAGGGCTTGGAAACGAGCGAACTCGTTATCTGTCGTGTTTATGGCGTTCCTAATGTTATTACTTTCTCGCATTGCGACAGAATACTGCTTCTGCACCTGTGCCAGTTGCTGTGAGTCCACAGCGATCAGTTGATTTTTTCCACGGATAATGCTTTCCGTTAATATTGAATCGGCGCGATAGCGCGAAGCAGTCACTACAAACCTCTTGTTACCTTGAAAATGTATTAAGATTTTGAGTCAATCATGTAACTAATATGTACAACTAGTTAGAATTGAAAATAAATCGTATGTTGATAATTGCAAGGCAATGAAGAAAGTTCACTTATAAAGTTACGCCCTTTTCTTACAAAGGCCAAACTTATTGATATAAGAAAATGTTTCATTTAAAAAAAATATATTTACATATGTACTTACCGCCAAAATAAACTCGAATAACTTTTGGAATAGATGAGGTGTGATTACCAACAGCATCTGTACCGATCGGGATATTATGTATTGAATACGAAGCGCACAACTTGTTTATTAATGGTATCGGCCCGGTCACAAGGTCGACGAGATACGCATGAAAACCCATAGGTCTGTTTCAAAAATAATTCAATATTTGTACGTTTGAAAAACAGAATTGGACAATAAACATACCGCAGCTCACTCTTGGGAATACTTGGAGTATACAAGCACCTATCGGCCGGCGGACAATAAATAATATTTACTCCCAACTTCTGCTTGACGCACAGTTCGTTGATCAAATCGGACATATCGTCCTTATCCTCACACGCAAAAGCGAATAAGTCCCGCTGTTTAACAACGTTTTCTAGGTATTTGGCGTCATCAGTGTTTTGCATTGTAAGCTAAAAATTTAAAATGGTAGGTTAATTGCATTAAATCAATATTTTTTCGCATCCAAGGGGAAAACTCACCTCGAGTATCATGGGATCATAAACGTTTAATTTATATCTTTCTTTATTCTGGGATACCCAACTCATAGCTCTAACCAAATTTGGATTTTTTACTCTGAGCTCCTAAATAATAAATAATTTTTAAATTTCAATCTCAGATAAGAGTGGTGCCATTATTCAATACATACTTCAATTTTTTGCAGTTTCACATTTTGTAATCGATCGATTTTATGCTTATATGCTGTGATTTCAGGAATCTTTTCATCATTTAGTTGTTGCTCAAGCCGTTTTCGCTTATTGTACTCATCCATTGCTTTGGCTCGAGCCGAGGAGACCGACTGCTTTACCTTTTCCAGCTCTGACACAATGTGCGATTTATTTCTATTAAAGTCTTCCAATTCCTCATTTTTATTGTCCACCAACTGCTGGACTCTCTCTGCTTCTGTGGCGTTCCTCAATGACTTTTGTATGTTTTGCTATTTAAAAATGTAGGTTAGATATCAAATTGTGTACTGAAAACTAAAACATACTTCCAGAAGACATTGGTTTTCTCGAATTTTTTGCTTTAATCCATCCAGCTGGCTTATTATGCCATTTTTCTCAGACACAGCTTTGTCCAGTAAACGAGTCTGTAGTATAAATATACCAAGAGTTGTAAATGTGAAAATATACTGGTAGAACCAAGGGCATTACCTTTTCCAAGCAAGCTTCTCTAAACGCTATCTTTTTCTTCTGTATTTGTTCTTGAGCCTGCGTCTGTAAGTTGTATTGTTCCTTCATTTTGTCGCTATGAGTTTTAGCCTTTTTAACATTTGTCTTTATTTGCGCGGCCTTTTCTTCACCAGCCTGCACTTCAATCCACAATTTCTTGGCGCTGAATACTTCCAGCTTTTGCTTAACTTCCTCTCGTTCCTTGTACTGGGCCACAGTAGCTTGCAACCTAGAGAATTTGGATGAAACTTAATATTTCACATTTACATTTCTAGTGAATGTACTCACTGTTCTAAACGTTTTTGCTTTTTAGCAAGATCGTTCTTCTCCTTTTCGCGGTCAGTGTGTACAATAGTCTGCTTTGCGCGCATTTGTTTCAGGAGACTAAAGTTGTCGGTCAGCTCACTGTCACACACGGACGACATTGTATTGAGCAGTAGTTCCTGCGGATTCATCTTGGAAAAGTCCTGCAACATGAAGGAAAAATTATATTAAATAACTTGTTATCCGATGTGCTAGTAGAGACACTTACCTGAACTCGGTCTTGTGGGAGGAACTGGCACAAATTATTGACTTGTATGTTATAGGCTGATACGGCAGACAGAAAATTCTTCTTGGTGGTGTCCTTGTTGTTGACGGAGAAAACGGAGGAGCCATTCGAGTTGATGATGCGGCCGAAAGTCTCCGTGCTATTGGCCACCCGCCCGTAAACCCGGATAATTATTTTGGCCGAACTCTTGTTGCTCTGAATGTAGTCGGAAACGCTGGATGAACGATCCAGAAGTTGCGGTTCTCCGCCCAGGCCCAAAATAATGGCGGAGACAATAGTGGACTTGCCAGTGCCATTGGGACCAGTTAGCACGTTAAGGTAATGCTTCGGGTAGAAGGTGATCTCGCTGTAAGAGCTGCCAAAAGAAATTTATTAGAATTGTAAGGTTTACGAGTTGCGAGTTGCGGATGAACATACACGAAATCTTTACAGTACACGGAATGTATGCGCCCCATCAGCTTCTTGGGACTTAAGGAACCGTGTCCCGCCATTGCGGGTCTAGTTTTCTTCCGATTTGCTTTTCTTTCTTTCCAAAATTGGCAAAATTGTTTAAAATGCGAGCCGCGACCTAGAGATGGTAGTTCGCTGATTTTCAATAATATCGATGAATAGAACTATCGATAGTTGTTAAACTATCGCGTTGGATAAAAAAATTAATATTCATACTTTATCGCGTTGGATCATAAAATAAATATTCATACTTTATCGCGTTGGATCATAAAATTAATATTCATACGTTTGCAGAGGAATATTTGGCAACCAAATGTGTGTATACAAGAAAATGACCAATGAAATTTGCCAGCGGGATACGGATACAACCGTTCGTTATACGCATAGGCTGTTGTGCCGTTTTACATATATCTTTGTATTTGAAAGTATATATCATGATAAAATTATATAATTATATAATGCTATCATGGTATATATCAGTTAAATTTAAAATGTTTAGATTATTTATTGGCTAACAAGAAAGAGCTAAAGATGTAGCCGTTTGATTTTCACTGTTCCACCGCAGCGATAACAACAGTTATCGGTTTTTTTGCATCGCTATTAAATTGAAGGTACTTATTTTTGATCCGTGCAAACATGAATTTATGCAAAATAAACGGAGTAACAAGACTTCCAGTCCTGCGGTCATGCATGCAATTCTCCAGCGCGGCTAATACGGAAGTGCAGCCATACGAGGAAGACGAGGGACAAGAGAACACGTCTTACTCGCAGCCGGTGGACAAATCCGGCCTGCAGCCACAACACAAAAATGTGCTCCTTGGCAAGTCTCCCTACCAGGAGGCGCACTCCTGGATACATTTGACCGAGAAGTATCAAAGACAGGCTTTTGGGCGGTACGGCGCCAAGAGCAACGTTAACCCAAAGATCTGTTTTAACTCCCGTGGAGAGACAGCCCAAACTGAAGTTATGCAACTGGAAACCCTGCTGAAAATGCTGGAAAAAAGCCGCTCGCAAAAGGCCGAAGAGCTGGAAAAGATCAATGCCCGCGAAGACGACATAGCAAAGAAGATGGAGAAGTTGAAGCAGTGGAAGGCGGATTTGCACGCGAAAATCGCTAAGCGAGAGGCTGATGCAGCTGCGGCGATTAAACGCAAAGAACGTTTGGTGGAGGAGGTTCGCAGGCACTTTGGATTCAAAGTGGACACCCGTGACGAACGATTTAAGGAGATGCTCGAACAGAAGGAGAAGGAGGACAAGCGGAAACAGAAGGAAGCCAAACGCAAGGCAAAAGAGGAAAAGATGATGGCCAAACTGGTGGAGAAGACATCATCATCCTAATGTTACTATAGTTCTTAAGCCTGGGAGCTCTTGTTCGTTGCCATTTAAAAAGAAAAAGCAATCCGACTAATAAATTTACTTGGAACGTAGTTCAATCGATTTCAGCGTTTTTATTAAAGAGAATGTTCGCTCTCTGATAAACAATAAAGGAATTCATAAGTATACATTGCGATTTAACCTTATTGACAAAGTCAGTTTTATACTCTTTACCCAAGTAGTATGTTAATTTGGTGCCAACCGAAAATGATCGAACTGTTTAAACCTGCAGGAAACATATTTACACGTTTATAATAAATATTCTAGATCAGTATCACCAATCACTAATCTTAGCCATGTTCGCCTGTCAAAGATTATGGCTAAATCTTGGATATCATAAAGGCTAGTGCTACCCACTTTGCATACAATGATTATATTCAATGAATACGAAAAGAAAACAAATACAATTTTACAAAATTCTTGGATCTCAGCCATATCCATACGCCTTTAAATTGAACACTCATTCTTTAAGTTCTGCGTATCTTACAGTCGAGTATTTACTAGCCCAAGCTTTGAAATATGGAATATATTCAGTTTGACAAAACAATCAATAAGTTTTAGCATCCCTTCTCCTCTAAACAACATTTTAGATTCATAATTTATGTTTTATTATTACAATTTGACTGAGAATTTATTTTTTAAGCACTATGAGTAATTACTTTTTTTATAACAAAGAATCACGCACTGACATTGAATCCCGGCGACTTAAACTTGTACTAACACTTTGTTTTTTTGTGATAAAATCCTCCTCGTTACAGCTCAAACAGGCATTTAAAAAAAGTATAAGGTCATTGTTTCCCAATGTAATGGCAAGTTTTTGTGCGTTTGCAAGGGCCTCTCTGGTCTGTTCGAGTTTGTGTAGAGAAGCATTGGCCTTAACGATTACAAGGGTGCTGAGGAAGTGCCATATGTTGCTATTACAGTTTTTCCCCTCTGAAAGTGAAAAGCAAAATTAAATGTTCTCAAACTTTGATTTTAAGTATAGTAAGGACCTTGGATAGCCTTGCGGGCACTGAAGCAGCACTCATCGTATCGATTTGATTTAAGGTGCGCGCTGGCAATTTGGTGAAGTAAATAGCATTTTTCAATGGGGTATTTTGCAAACACCATACGCTTCTCGTAGCGGTTTATTAATAATCTAAAGGGGACACGAAAAAGTTCAATATTCAAAGTTCAAATTCAAATAGTTAATAAAAATGTATAAAGTCTACTCTACCGTGATTTTAGCATGCTCGGATCTGAGGATTCTGTATCCTGATGCGTTGTGCGATCGCCAAATACGAAAGTTGGTGAATCTAATGACCTTTCCGTTTGAAAGTTCAGAAGGGTAAGCAGAGCATTCTTATCAAAAGCACGAAAGTTCTTCGGAATTCGATACTGATCCACAAGAGCCAGTGCTAATGTATTGTACACCTCGTTTAGAAATTCAAATTTCCACGGCATGGTCCTGTTGGTTTTTTTTACTACATAGTCTCCCATCACTTCCTCCACATAACTAGACAGTTTCTGTAATTAATAATAATGCTATATTACTGTAGGCACTGTCGAAATTTAAGAATATGACATGCGTCAAACTTATAATAGTTTATTATTAAATTTGTAGTTAACGAGTTTGATCTTAAAGAGTATTTGAGAAGTAAAGAGCAATACTTATCACTTAAGACATACTGAAATATTTTTGGTTCTCCGGAGGTATCCAATACTTCTTAGAACTGAGATCATATTTCGACGAGTCTGGTACTGAACTCTGTAAAGGTAGTCCTCCCGAAATTTGTCCATTAATTTCTTGTTGGTAAACTTTTGGTAGCGGAGATGGTACATTGGAGCTCGAGCTTGCAGCATTTTCTTGAAATGTAATAAAATCTTAGAAGACCCCTACTCAATGTAGTGTAAAGGTAGGTGGCACTCACCATAAACTTTTTGATTTCGTCATATTTTTTTATGGTTAGTGCACGTAGAAAATGTTTGCTGTTTTTGCATTGATCCAAAAGCAAATTAGGATTTCTGGAGAAAATATATTTTAGAAAATGATTGATGAAAACGGCTTTAAACGGAATACTTTTGAAGGTGTTTCAGGAATATTACATCGATCCATGACCTATCTAGGAACATCTGATTAGACACATCGAAGGCACGGCTTCTCCTAGCGATTTCAAGGGGAGACAGAATAACTTCCTAAAAAGTAGGTCCAAGAATTATAAATTGAATTCGTCATATGGAAATTTTCTCAATATTATAAGATTCCGCATCCAAAAAGTATACGTTATTTGAGATCTTAACTATTTAATTGCATTGATCCAATCGCGCAGGAAAACAATAAAAAGTATTCTATCTTAAAACTCGAATGATTAAAAAATAGTATGGTCGCATCTCCTTTTGACAGACGACAGAGAAACGCGTTAAAAAAAATAGGTTAATTATGCTGTTTTGAGAAACCGATATCTCATAACTATGACATGCCTACTCGCAGTTTTTTAACTAATATTTAAAATCAAAATACATAATACACACTTTGATCTCCGGAATACTCAAGACGTCGCATTCCCCTAGTTCCTTCAGTATCTTCCAAAGAGGTCTTTCATCTTTTTTAAAGTTATTCCGGGCTACCGCCAACTGCACTATAAGCTTTTCATTTTCAGAAATAAAATGAGTCATCGATTGGTCGCATGCGTCTTCAATATTTGCATCGACCTACAGTGATTAAAAATTGAAAATATTTTTGGAAATAGTTACACAAGCGGTCCTACCAAAATAAGCCGTTTTTCAAACATCTTTGACTTATTTCCTCCAAAAAGACGTGCATTGTCGTGAAGCTCTGCTTTTGAGTTCTCTAGCTTATTCATTTCATAGAGCGCATCGCAAATTTCCAAATTAATAGGTGCATTATCACGACCTAGTGTTTTCAATAAGCCTAAAAAAAGACATTTACATGCACGTAAATACAAGTTTCTAGCAGAGATGATTATTAAGATGAGTAACGGCCGTTGCTGTATTCGTACAAAAAAGAGGCTGTTTCTTCTATGTAAAAACGCCAGTTCAAAAGAAAGTACGAAAATTGTGTGCAATCATCATATTGCGTTGCTCATCTTAGTAATTCTTAAGTCCATTTTAAATATTAGCTAACGTTGGGCCTCTAAGCTATCCTTCAGGGCACTTTCGGTCAGGGCATTCTTGCGTTTGCTTTGACTCCGGTTATAAAGGGTCATCCAATCATTTGGTGCAAGGTTCAGTGCCTTGCCATAATAGTGAATGCCAAGATTTTCCCTGCGCCGACGGCAGTAATAAGATCCCCAATCCTTGTAAATGCCTTGCTCTATTTCCGGGCTCCAGTCAATTTTCATCCAGACGGGCACTGCTTGCTCAACGCCCTGCGGCGGTGCTTGTATTATTGAGGCCATTTTTTTTTTCTTTTTATTTATTGATTTTTATTTATTTTTTTTTTTTGTGTTCTGTGTTTGTTAAATAACTAAAGCAAACTAGTATTCATTTTAGGAACAAGTTGACTTTTATTCGAATGGTTTTATGATAAGATCTCCATTATTAAGGCAAGGTTATAATGTATGCTAAAAGTGATATTGTTCCTGGTGGTGATTTTTCATAAAAAACACGAAAAATGTAGGCAATATTACGTGGAATTCAGAACATCATTCCCCTATTTATACCCACCGCAGGATACAAGGATGGAAAATGTACTATGTTTATAACAGGCAGAAGGGGTATCTTTGAACCTACAAAGTATACCTTTATGTATTCTTGATGAACAGATCGCAGTGACTATAATAGATATACATACACTGCGCGTCACCAGATTAGCGCCCCCCCTGGTGCTCGCGTTTGAAGTAAAATATTATCAAAACTATTAAAGATTGAACTGTACAATTATTATCCAATATAATTCGATTAATTCTCTAAATAAAAACATATATTAGAACGCAGTTGGTATTTGCATAGAATTGTATTAAATTAAAAACTAAAGAAACACGTTTATTTGGAAGAAAAAACTGCGTCATCAGATTAGCGCCCCCAAAATATAAATTTAAACATCTTTCTTAACTTGCTGAGCACAGCAACCATTTTTTTTTCTGTGTTAAATTAAACATTTTTCTTCAATTTGAAATACAATATGGGCAGAGGAACAATCTTATCTTCGGAGGAAAAATCGAAAATCGAAGCGTTTAATGAATGTGGACTTTCTCTTCACAAAATCGTCGAAAAAACGAGAAGACATCGCAAAACCATTGCAAATTTTCTTCAAAATAAGAAAAGCTATGGAAAAAATTACAAAGGAGGTAATAACAGTGTTATTAGTTCCGCAGATCGCAGTGCTATACTTCGAGAGGCGTGTAACTCCCACGACTCGACCGCCAAAATAATAGAAAAAACTTGTGTTAAGACAATAAAATCGACTTTTTTAAAGGTGATCAAGAAAGCTGACCCTTTAAAGAAGCTAAAACTAAAAAAAAAAAACCACCCCTTAACCAAGTGCGAACAGAAATCCGCCTAAAGTTTGCTCACACGCATATGACATGATCCAATGAGAGGCATAATGTCGTATTTTCAGACGAAAAAAAATGTAACCTAGGGGGTCCTGACGGATATAATTATTATTTCCACTATTTACGCAAGGAAGAGCATCATCTGGATCGCTTACATAGTCGGGTTGGAGGAGTAATGGTATGGGGAGCCATATCCTATTATGGCAACTGCGAACTGCAGTTTTTAACCCCAAAGATGAACGCGGAAAATTACAATTGCGTTCTAAAAACAGCATTTCCCGTTTTTAAAAACTTATTTGGAAATCTGAAATAGCATTTTCAGCACGACTAAGCCCCAATCCACAGAGCCCGGTCCGTAAAACTATGGAATCAAAAGGAAAATGTCAGTGTCCTGGAGTGGCCCCCCATACTCCCCAGATCTGAACATAATAGAAAACGTCTGAGGATGGTTAGCTAGGAAGGTGTACTAGGGTGGCAAGCAATATGCTACCAAGGAGGATTTAATTCACATTATAAAACAGGCCTGGTCAACAATAACGTTGGAATATTTCAAAAACTTGTATGACTCTCTCCCCAATCAAGTTTGTGAAGTCCTTGTAAACAAGGGAGGGGCAACCCATTATTAAATTTCCTTAAAAATGATTCAACTTAATCATAAAATTGTTAAAGATAGTATTTTGTAAGAACTTTATCAAAAAAAGTTAAGTTAATGTAGGTGGCGCTAATCTGATGACGCAGTTTTTTCTTCCAAATAAACCTGTTTCTTTAGTTTTTAATTTAATACAATTCTATGCAAATACCAACTGCGTTCTAATATATGTTTTTATTTAGAGAATTAATCGAATTATATTGGATAATAATTGTACAGTTCAATCTTTAATAGTTTTGATAATATTTTACTTCAAACGCGAGCACCAAGGGGGGCGCTAATCTGGTGACGCGCAGTGTATGTACATACATAAGTACAAAATTTGGTGACGTCATTCTTTTCTGTTGTTGGCAGATCAGGCTTGACATTTTTTCCGCTGAAACAGTAAAAACTATAACGCAGCTGGTATAGTAAAATATTTGTAATTATTATTAAACAAAACTGCACTTGAAAAACTTCTGATATTTCATTTTGTGACGATCAATAAATATTTAAGGAACATATCGAAAAGTCGAAATTAATTATTTGTTTTTGCATTCAAAAAGAAGAAATTGTAAATTATAAACTATTTTAAAATATATAAATGAAATATGTGCAAGCAAAATAAATCCAATACAGCATATTATGTTCTTCAGAATCGCAATGTGATTTAAATAATAATTAACAGACGACGTTGCAACACACATTTACTATGCAAAGCTTCAAATAATCTCAAAATATCCCACAATTGTATCATAAGAAGCATCCTTACAGGGTTCGCATGACTCTGAGACATTAAGACTTGGCCTTGAGCCACAAGTGTATTCGGAAGTTACCTCCCACATGCGGTAATCAAAATCCACTATCGAAGCAGGCATTTCGAGGAGTTCGGCTTCAGAGCCTGCGCAATAACCAACGAATTTTCTGCCTTACTCAAGTTGGTCAGGACATCTGGACAGGCAAACAGTTGCCTTGCACCTGTCTATGTGGCAACGCATCCAGCTGGCTTATATCCGCGTTTTTTATATTTGATTTGAAGATGTTTTCCACTAATTACGAAATTTCGAATACCAAAAGAACAAAATTAAAAAAGTGGTAAAACGGAAATAGCTGTGAAAAGTCTTATCAGTTGCTGAGGTGCGGTTAATAAAAATAATAAAAACAAATGAAATCCTCGACCAATATAAATACTACTAAACAGATTTAAGTATTGTTTTAATGCACTATTTAACCGTTTAATTTGTTAAATAAATTTGTCTTACTGCTTAATTTTCTTTCAACTAAAATGTTGAAAACACAAAACTATTCAAAAACAATTGGGAATGGCGTGTGTAAGTTTTTAAATAAGAACAAAACGCTTTGAACTGAACCTTTTAAAAATAAATGAATTACTTAGTACATCATTTATTTATTCATAAACTACAATTAGAAGTATTAAATAATTTAAAGTTCAGTAGTCGATATTTCATAAGATCCCAAAAATGTTTTTTTTACTTTAATTACAGTTAAATGTTCTTACAATTTCTTAAAACTTTTTGATTCCCTTCTTTTGAAGAAACGCAGTATACCCGAATAAATCAAAACTGGTAGGTATATTAGTTTACACATGAAAGTATTTATGTATGCACCGATAAAAGCTTTCTTATACAGGTGCATATTATAATTCAAACCAAGATGAACTTTTAAAATTAAAGACCCTAATTTATGTGAAATAAAGTATTATCAGGACAATAAATTAGTTGAGGGAAAGGCAATATCAATGCTGTAAGATTAATATTAAGTCCTAAGTAAGTGGCTAAGTAACACAGCATCGCATAGGAGGAGCTTCTTATACATACGTCTTGGCTATTCATCTTCATTTACAAGTAGCACTCAATAAAGCCAATAAAAGCAAGTGGCTTGCGACTATGCCGCACGAAAATTCTCATATGTCCATATATAATTATATTCAAAGTTAGGCGACACCTGCCATCTGCGGAACATATAAATGTACTATATGCCATCTTGCTGGCTGCGTCGCACAAGTAATTAGCAACACGTGGCTGGGTTAGTGGTAGGAGGCTATCAGAGGGGTTACACAGGGTTGGGGCTGGTCACCAGCTAAATGTCCCTAATGACCAGATGCAGGATTGGATAAGGCGTCTCAAGGGTGCTCCGGTCTCTCCGGGGGCAAATTGGCTGATTTACAGGTACCCTTAGAAGATGCTTCTGGGAAAGTGTCCTGTCTTTATTATTATGAATATTAATAATTGCTGCATAACTCAAACTGGCTTCCTAATTACATGCGTGCCCTCCTCGTGCTTGCAAATTTGCGAATTAAATTCACGTTTGAACGCCCTGGTTAGAAAGTTTGCAATTGCGTAAAACAGTTCGCTTCGCTAGGCCAAAACCACTTTCAGTGTTTAGTTTGCTAGGAGACATATTCATAATAATGATAAATTCGGTTGCCGAAATACTATATGCACGAACTTTTGTTGTTACGAATATGTCTGTTTGTGTTGGTGTGTGAACTCTACCATAGTTAAGCCCATTCAACCTGGCTTAATACGTCTGGCCAAGGAGCTGCTGCTACAGACACCTGCAAACTACACACATTTGCGGATGTCAAATTTAACTAAGTTCTGGTTTATATTGTTATCCTTCAGGCTGAAGACATTCGGCTCACTTAATTGTAAGTGTGTATAAGCATTCCTGAGCTAACTGACAGCACTTAGTCCTATTTACTTATTACCTTAATCGCGAAATAAAAACTACAAAAGGTCGCGTATCCGTTGATAAGATAGCATCTAAACATTTAAATAAGGGTGGACATTATAAAGCGTGGAACAAAATGCTTTAGCTTTGGTGTACTTTGAACACATTCCATAATATCATGAATTTAAAATGAGGATAAGTTGATGATCATTAGCCTTGTTTCAATGAATTTTAAATTCCCTTAAAGCGTGTAAGGCGACAATATAGTATCAGGTAATGGGATATAACAATAAACCAAATATTCGCGTCTTTTTTCATAGGTAATCGCAGAAAAGCTTGCTCCTTGTAATTTTATTCAGGTCTTTGAAAAGCAAATTTAAACGTGGTGCCCAATGTGACAAGATATCCGAGAAATCTGGTCCATACGGTCGGAAGGTTTCTTTGAACTTTTTTTTATAGCTATACCCTGTGTTAATTAAGACAAGGCAGGCATATTCACTTTATTTCAGACAAAAAACGTTATAAATTATTAACAAATATTGGCCTCAAAACTGCTAAGAACTCTATCTCGCTCAATAAAGTCTCATGATAATTTACCACCCAACTTAAGTTAGGTAAATATTTTAAAAACACGTATGAAACTAGTCTATCAAATTAAAGTGAAAATGCATTTTGA